GCCTCCCCGCGCCCGTGGCCACCAGATCTGGGGCTGCTGGAGGGGGCGAGGTGGGTGTCCCGCCCGTGTGCGTAAAGTGAGTCCGGACTGAACCAGGTACACGTGCCAGTCAGGGACGGGCTGACCGAGGTGCGTACAGCCCTACAAAGACAGGGACGGCCACCAACTGCCAGGCCTAAGCACCTGACAGGGCCACTCTGTCTGATGGGGACAGTCAGGTACACCAGGTGAATCCGGTTCACGCCTTTGGAGGTAGGTCTGTCGTTACAGACTGAGTCAGGCCCACTCCACGGATGAACCAACGGATGAACCGTGTGGAAGCAGGTGCACAGAGGTGAGCCCACACCTGGGCCAGGTGCACTTTTTCTGAAATAGGTATCTTACTAGGATCAGACGAAGGCAGGTACAGCCATATATACCCAAGGACCGCGAGAAGAGCCGGCCGAGACGGGGCACTTACCCAGCCACGGTGTGAGTGTTCGCAGGAAAATCCCACTCCACCTACACTTGCCCGGACAGGCCCACCAGAGGCTGCCTCCACGCCTCCATGAAGACTTAGAGTTGCCAGGTCCCGGTGGTCACGCCCACGCCCAGCACTTCACCGTCTGTACCCAGGCAGTTGAGGCAGGCAGAGGTGTCCTGTCCGTTCCACTCCTAAGCTGTGCAGGACGGCTAAGTGGCGCCAGGGCCTTGGATGCCTCCTTTGCCACTTTGGAAACTACAGCTGACCTAGGGAAGAGAGAAGCGTGGCTTTCAGTGTGTGTGAGAGAGACTGAGAGAGGGCGCGAGAGAGGGACTAGAGCCCGCAAGATAGAGACCTAAGCCTCCATTGTACCAGCAGCCCACTTTGCAGGTGGAGAAACAGGCCCAGGCAGCTGGAGCATCGAAAGCTTGGTGCTCACTGCGTGCCAGTGCTTTACCACCTGGTCTCTGCCGCATCCCAGGCACGAGTCCTGCAAGGCAGTTGTCAGTGTTGTAATCAAAGATGGTTCATTGTAAAAGACACCAGAAGCACAGCTATGATTACAGTGCGGAGAATATTAGTAATAATCATTTAAAAGTCCATGTGTAAAAATAGACCAGTGCCTGGGCCAGCAGCTTGCATGTGGGTTAAGACACTGGACTCCCACTTGGACAGCTGAGGTTGGAGTTGCAGACCCAGAGGCTTGAGAATCACGCCGGGTGCGTGTGCGCGTGTGCCCAAAATCCCGGGGAAAGAATGGAGGAGAAGGGATTGTGGTGTCGCCATCCCCTCTAGGGGGTGATTTCTTACTTTCTCTCTGTCTCTCTCTGGCAAGCGCACACTTACCCAATGACAAAAAGAAAACCAAAACCAAACCAAACAAAAAATGCACAACAACAAACAAAAACCCAGTGCCAGTCCCTTGCAGGCCCTGGGAATGGCCCTATCCGGAACTACTCTCCTGAATTTTAACTATGCTAGTCATTTCCTTGTATTTATTTAATTTTTTTAGCTTCACCACTTTTGTATGAATCCCTACATAGCATATTGTCTAATTTCGCTGCTTTTTACTTTGTAGAAAGGGACTCATTGTATAATTGTGTGACCTCCTAGTTCCACAAGGTACTATATTCCTAAAAACCCATTTCTACGGCCTGCGTACAATGATTTATCTTACTACTAAATAGCATTCCATCTAACAAATATACCACGGTTTTTATCTACTCGCTGTTGTTAGCTATTGCTTTTTTTTTTAAAGATTTATTTTATTTAACTTTATTTACTTATTTATATTTCTTAATTTGACCACAGAGGGACAGAGTGAGAGAGAAAGAAAGTGAGAAAGCCAGTCACCAGGTCCAGGACTTGAACCACGGTCAGCCATGTGGGAGTCCAGCGCCCTCAACCACCACGCCACCTGCCGGTCCCAGCTATTGCTTTAGAAGTTTTTAAAATTCATATTTATTTTTCTGCTATTACAGAAAAATTCAGATATCCTTTATTTTCCCCCTTCTTTTTTTTCTTTTGGTATTCTACATGTGTCTTAAAAAGACATCGTAGCAGGACCAGCCGAAAGTGTAATGATTACGTCACTGGACTCCCCTGGGTTGATTGCAGTTCGAGTCCCAGACCCAGCGGCTTAAAACTCACTCGGAGTGTGTGGGCGTACAGCCCAGAATCCCAAGAGGAGACTGCAGGAGAAGGGACTGCTGCATGGCCATCCCCCCAGGGGGTGATTTCTCAGCTTTCCGTCTCTTCCTCACCGGTGAGTGCATGTGCCCTACAGCAAAAACCTTTCAAAAAACAAACAAACAAAAGGCATTGCAGCATTGAGGAAACAGACACTCAGAGATTGACAAAGGTGATGTCACTTGCCTAGGGCCCGGGAGCTGGTGGAGGGGTTCAGTGTGTCCTCTCCAAGGCAGTCACCCCCTCCCATGGACACACCTGCTTGTTGGAGGTGCTCACAGAAGACCCCAGTGGGGAGGGGGTATGCTTTCTAGCTGGGCTGTGAGGTTGCTGTCTGGGTTTGCCTGCCCCTTTCTGGGTAAATGCCTGCTTTGTTGCCCAGTCATCTTTGAAGACCCCAGGGTCCCCTGCCCTGTGGCCCCTGGCACGGCAATCCCAGTGACTGGCAGACTGAGGAGAAAGGAACACGAGGCCCCCCACCCACGCCAGCTGGCATGCAGGGCCGGGCACCTTCCCGTTCCTCCTCAACTTGCAATCCTTCCAGTGGAGCGGGACACACCGTACTTGGCATCTCGTGCCAGTCCCTTTTACAGCTGAGCAGAGCCCAGTGGTGCCAGGCATGCAGACATTGTAGAGACAACCTTTAAGATAGTCCAACTATGGAGTGACATGTCCAGGTTAACACACGCTGAGCCTCAATGAACGCACATCAAGGTGACTGATAGAGCTCGCCAGGCTGCGGGCACCACGCCAGTGCCATGCAGGTACTTCCAGCCGCCTCCCCGCGCCCGTGGCCACCAGATCTGGGGCTGCTGGAGGGGGCGAGGTGGGTGTCCCGCCCGTGTGCGTAAAGTGAGTCCGGACTGAACCAGGTACACGTGCCAGTCAGGGACGGGCTGACCGAGGTGCGTACAGCCCTACAAAGACAGGGACGGCCACCAACTGCCAGGCCTAAGCACCTGACAGGGCCACTCTGTCTGATGGGGACAGTCAGGTACACCAGGTGAATCCGGTTCACGCCTTTGGAGGTAGGTCTGTCGTTACAGACTGAGTCAGGCCCACTCCACGGATGAACCAACGGATGAACCGTGTGGAAGCAGGTGCACAGAGGTGAGCCCACACCTGGGCCAGGTGCACTTTTTCTGAAATAGGTATCTTACTAGGATCAGACGAAGGCAGGTACAGCCATATATACCCAAGGACCGCGAGAAGAGCCGGCCGAGACGGGGCACTTACCCAGCCACGGTGTGAGTGTTCGCAGGAAAATCCCACTCCACCTACACTTGCCCGGACAGGCCCACCAGAGGCTGCCTCCACGCCTCCATGAAGACTTAGAGTTGCCAGGTCCCGGTGGTCACGCCCACGCCCAGCACTTCACCGTCTGTACCCAGGCAGTTGAGGCAGGCAGAGGTGTCCTGTCCGTTCCACTCCTAAGCTGTGCAGGACGGCTAAGTGGCGCCAGGGCCTTGGATGCCTCCTTTGCCACTTTGGAAACTACAGCTGACCTAGGGAAGAGAGAAGCGTGGCTTTCAGTGTGTGTGAGAGAGACTGAGAGAGGGCGCGAGAGAGGGACTAGAGCCCGCAAGATAGAGACCTAAGCCTCCATTGTACCAGCAGCCCACTTTGCAGGTGGAGAAACAGGCCCAGGCAGCTGGAGCATCGAAAGCTTGGTGCTCACTGCGTGCCAGTGCTTTACCACCTGGTCTCTGCCGCATCCCAGGCACGAGTCCTGCAAGGCAGTTGTCAGTGTTGTAATCAAAGATGGTTCATTGTAAAAGACACCAGAAGCACAGCTATGATTACAGTGCGGAGAATATTAGTAATAATCATTTAAAAGTCCATGTGTAAAAATAGACCAGTGCCTGGGCCAGCAGCTTGCATGTGGGTTAAGACACTGGACTCCCACTTGGACAGCTGAGGTTGGAGTTGCAGACCCAGAGGCTTGAGAATCACGCCGGGTGCGTGTGCGCGTGTGCCCAAAATCCCGGGGAAAGAATGGAGGAGAAGGGATTGTGGTGTCGCCATCCCCTCTAGGGGGTGATTTCTTACTTTCTCTCTGTCTCTCTCTGGCAAGCGCACACTTACCCAATGACAAAAAGAAAACCAAAACCAAACCAAACAAAAAATGCACAACAACAAACAAAAACCCAGTGCCAGTCCCTTGCAGGCCCTGGGAATGGCCCTATCCGGAACTACTCTCCTGAATTTTAACTATGCTAGTCATTTCCTTGTATTTATTTAATTTTTTTAGCTTCACCACTTTTGTATGAATCCCTACATAGCATATTGTCTAATTTCGCTGCTTTTTACTTTGTAGAAAGGGACTCATTGTATAATTGTGTGACCTCCTAGTTCCACAAGGTACTATATTCCTAAAAACCCATTTCTACGGCCTGCGTACAATGATTTATCTTACTACTAAATAGCATTCCATCTAACAAATATACCACGGTTTTTATCTACTCGCTGTTGTTAGCTATTGCTTTTTTTTTTAAAGATTTATTTTATTTAACTTTATTTACTTATTTATATTTCTTAATTTGACCACAGAGGGACAGAGTGAGAGAGAAAGAAAGTGAGAAAGCCAGTCACCAGGTCCAGGACTTGAACCACGGTCAGCCATGTGGGAGTCCAGCGCCCTCAACCACCACGCCACCTGCCGGTCCCAGCTATTGCTTTAGAAGTTTTTAAAATTCATATTTATTTTTCTGCTATTACAGAAAAATTCAGATATCCTTTATTTTCCCCCTTCTTTTTTTTCTTTTGGTATTCTACATGTGTCTTAAAAAGACATCGTAGCAGGACCAGCCGAAAGTGTAATGATTACGTCACTGGACTCCCCTGGGTTGATTGCAGTTCGAGTCCCAGACCCAGCGGCTTAAAACTCACTCGGAGTGTGTGGGCGTACAGCCCAGAATCCCAAGAGGAGACTGCAGGAGAAGGGACTGCTGCATGGCCATCCCCCCAGGGGGTGATTTCTCAGCTTTCCGTCTCTTCCTCACCGGTGAGTGCATGTGCCCTACAGCAAAAACCTTTCAAAAAACAAACAAACAAAAGGCATTGCAGCATTGAGGAAACAGACACTCAGAGATTGACAAAGGTGATGTCACTTGCCTAGGGCCCGGGAGCTGGTGGAGGGGTTCAGTGTGTCCTCTCCAAGGCAGTCACCCCCTCCCATGGACACACCTGCTTGTTGGAGGTGCTCACAGAAGACCCCAGTGGGGAGGGGGTATGCTTTCTAGCTGGGCTGTGAGGTTGCTGTCTGGGTTTGCCTGCCCCTTTCTGGGTAAATGCCTGCTTTGTTGCCCAGTCATCTTTGAAGACCCCAGGGTCCCCTGCCCTGTGGCCCCTGGCACGGCAATCCCAGTGACTGGCAGACTGAGGAGAAAGGAACACGAGGCCCCCCACCCACGCCAGCTGGCATGCAGGGCCGGGCACCTTCCCGTTCCTCCTCAACTTGCAATCCTTCCAGTGGAGCGGGACACACCGTACTTGGCATCTCGTGCCAGTCCCTTTTACAGCTGAGCAGAGCCCAGTGGTGCCAGGCATGCAGACATTGTAGAGACAACCTTTAAGATAGTCCAACTATGGAGTGACATGTCCAGGTTAACACACGCTGAGCCTCAATGAACGCACATCAAGGTGACTGATAGAGCTCGCCAGGCTGCGGGCACCACGCCAGTGCCATGCAGGTACTTCCAGCCTCTGCTGCTGCTTCCTCGGTTGGGGGTGCTCCCCTCCCTTCCCACTACCGCATGGCCAATTCCATTCATGTTTTTGATGATGTCACCTCCTCTGTGAAGCCTGCCAAGACTCATTCGATGCTCAGGTGCTTCCTCCTCAGTGCTCCCACGGCACCCTGCCTGTGTCCCTACGTGCTGGATGTGTTGCCAGCCTGGGCCCTCCTTCGGGGCTGGGACTCCGCCCTTGCTGGCAGGCCCCATGCTGCCCTGTGATGAGTCAGGCACGAAGCTCCCTCCCCTCCCAGAGTGAGTTGCAGTCTCACACTCTTCCTGCTAGCCTGCTAGCGAGCAAAGGCGGCTCCTTCTCAAGAAGCTGACTCTCTTCTGCAGAAGCCAGGGCTGCGCTGGGGAAGCCCTGCTCCACTTACAGCTGGGTGTTGCAAACCTTGGCCCCAATTCTCAGGAGCTCTCTGGACTCAGTGGTGCCAAGCCTATCGTCCTCACGCCCCCACGGCCTCTTGCACACTTGCATGGGCTGAGCTGCCTATTTCCTTCCTGAATTCTGTCTGCCCTCCTGCCACCAGCCTGGGGGAGGTCTGCAAAGCTCCTGAACTGGTCACCTCGGAAGGGGCAGTCGTGGGGGAAGCTGGAGAGAGAAAGTTCCCAGGAGTGACCTTGGCCTTCTGCTGCTCCCCTGGGCAGCTGGCCCTGGGGAGGCACAGGAACTAGGCCACCTCTCCAGAAAGACTGGGTGGGCAGCTCCGGGGCCTGGGCAGAGTGGCTGCAAAGGTGACACTTAGTTTAACGAGGCCTCCTGGAAGTGCAGGACAGACCAGGCCCTCCCGTGTCTGGTGGCTTCGGGTGGATTTTTTTTTAAGGCTTGCACCGCAGGGTTACACAAATTGAAGTTATGTTCTAAACAGTACCTAAATGTGGCGCAGTATATCTGCACTGTTAACAAGATAATTGGAAGACTAGTTTTACAAATCTATTATTTCTGTAAAGGAACGACTGGTTCCAGAGGTGGGACAGGTAACGGATTGAGCCCGGGGTATCACGTGGTGCCAGAGAGTTAGGAAGTGCTCAAAACGCAGAAGGACGGGGTGTCAGAGGGGCCCAGGAACTCCCAGTGGGGTTCATCCACATGGACATAAACGGCTGAATAACGGGCAGAAGAGGCCAGTCTTCCATGCAGAAGAATTTCCGGTGATGCACGGAGACCTTCCCAGAGGGGAGGTGGTGCTTACTATCCCTCCCTTCCCTCAGCTGCACCCTGGGCTGGCTGACTTGCTGCTAAATAATGGAGTAGGGAGACGGGAAAATAGTAAGTGTGCCGTTGAGAAACCTGGCCGACATGACCTTAACCCAGGGGTCAAGGTCAATGCCACAGGGGTAAGTCCGGTCCTAATCACGCAGAGGCCCCTCTGACACCGTGTGACACAAGGGCATTTTGCCTCTGTAAAATTCTTTCTAAATCTATAAGCCTAGAGAAAAACAGCAGACGAGCCCGAATGAAAGAACTACCTGGGCCAGGTGTTGGCAGGGTTGCTAAGGCGGATGGCCCCTGATTGCCGGCTGTGCAGTTTGAATCCCGGTGCCTTGAGACGCACACTAGGCACGAGAAGAGAATGGAGGAGAAGGGACTGTGACGTGGCCACTCCCCGGTGCTACTCCCGCTGCCCCCCACCATCACCCGTCTCTTTCTGGCATGCACAAGTGCCCTGTTGCAAAAAAGAAAAAAAAAAAAGAAAGAGACATCTTGCAAAACATGAAAACAGAACTCTGGCACACCGTCAAGGTCACGAAAAACCCATGACAGCAATGGTTAGACCAGAGGACAACAGGGGACAGGCTGACTAGATGGAATATGTTACCCTGGATGTCGAATCCTGGGACAGAAAGGGTAAAAGAAAATGAAAAACTGGTAGAAGCCAAATAAGGTCTGGAGGAGAGTTAGGGAGGCGCCAGTGGGGTCTGTGAGTTTCGACTCTTGTTCCGTGATGGCGTGGACGCTAACAGGAGAGGGCAGTGTATCCGGAAATGGGCGAGTGTATCTGGAACCCTCTGTACTGTCTTTGCAGCTCTTCCGTAAGCCTAAGTGGCAGAATTCTGGTTTATTTCAAAACCAAACAAACACACGCAGATCCATGGGCCCCACCCACGGTGCTCGGTGCTTGCACTCACCGCTGTCTCCTGGTTCCCTGGCGTGTGCCCCGGCTCAGGGGACTGTCGTTTGGCTACGATTTCCGAAGTCTAACCTGGAGGCCTTTCGTCCATGGAGCCCTGGCCAGATGACCCTCTCGCCCTGTTTTTCCTCTGCCCTCCCATCCCGCTGCCCCTGTCCTCTCTTCTTTGAGCCTTTGAGTGAGTGCTGGAGCTGGAAAGCCCCGTGGCGACGCGTGAGCCCGGCACGTTTGTCTCGTAGATGGAGAAGCTGGGGGAAAGAGGAGAAGGACCTGCCCTGGCCTCATGCCAAGTCATTTTAGGCAGAGCTGAGGATGGGACTGGATAGGCTTTCTCCAATCCAGGCACCCAGCGATGGGGACCAGACTTCAGACCAGCATGGGAACTGCATGCTAGGGACCTCCAGGATCCTGTGAGGTGCTCGCTCTGGCCACCTGTCAGTGGTGACCACACCTACCATCGAGGGATGTCAGCTCAGCTGTCAGCACGTTCCTGATTCTGCAGTTGGGGACGTACAGGGGTTCTGAGGTACGGGGACTCACCTGGCACTGGGTGACGGCAGTGAGGAACTCGCAGGAAGGCAGACCCTCAGGTGTGGGTTGGAGAGAAGCTTCCCCTTGGGCCTCACCAGGCCCTCCCTTGACAGGTTTGGAAGGCCCAGGAGGAGGCAGGGCCTGGTTGTGGGTGAAAGGTTGAATCTGTCTCCCTGAGCTTCACCCCTACAGCTATAGCCCTGAAGGGCCCAGAAAGGATTCTGCAAAGCCCTGTGCGTGTGAAGACAGGCTGGGTTCGGGTCGCACACTCCTGAATGGGCACTGGGGACACATCTCTGGTGATACACAAAAGAGGCCAGAGAATGCCCTGGTCCCCTGGGGCTGGGGCAGGGGCTGAGCGGGCGTTCATGGCCCTGGCCTGGGAGTGGAATGCCTTCCTCGCCCTGCTTCCTTCTGCCCCGTAGTGGTCTGCAGCATGCGTCTCCCACCTGCAGGCTCCCTGGAGACAGACCGGGCCTCCTCCTGCTGTGTCTCCAGCACAGGCCCTGGAGGGTGGCAAACGCTCGGCCAGCCGGTGTGCGAGCCGGGCGGCTGGGTCGGCTCCGCTGTGTACGTGTCTGCTGCCCCCTTTGCCAAGTCCAGCTCATGGAGTCCCTGCACCGGGATAGGGCAGTCCGAGTCTGGGTGCTCAGAGCCGGAAGGGAGGTCCCGGCTTCCTTGGAGCCTCCCACGGAGCCGTTGGTGCAGGAGCCCGTGGGAGCAGAGGACGGAGGCTGACAAGGAAGAATCGCAACGGGGCCAGCTCTAACCACAGAGTCAGGAGTGTGCTGATGGCCGGGCTGACGTCAGCTCAGTGGTCATTGTGGTCAGCACTGACGGGTGGCCAGGGTGAGTGCCTCACAAGATCCTGGAGGTCACTAACGTGCAGTTCCCATGCTGGTCAGGAGTTCTGGTGGCAGCTAGAGATATCACTGCTCGTTCACATGCCACGGGGGACTTGGGTTTCCTCGCTAGCACCCTTTGCCCGAGTCTCCGTCCCTAACAGTGCTGGGAGTTTCCTAGCCGTGTGCTCTGGTCAGAAGTGACCCTCATTCCTACGGCGAGGTCTAACTGCCTTAATCAGATCAGAATATCCCTCCTCTATGCTGCAGTAATTCGTTAGGTAAAGGCACAAGTTCGGCCAGCTGGATTAATGATCTTAATTCTGGGTCTTTTCTTTGAGCTAACTGGGTAGTAAGCAGTTTCTTCTTAATTATGAAATCAGAAAAGCAAGTAGTGTCGTGAGCTTTCAGCAGCCACCTTGACATGATGTAGGAGGTGGAACCAAAGACCGAAAGAAACGAGGTCCTTGGTAACAGCTGCTGGATCAACCCTCACCTGAAGCTATCCCTCGTTCTAGGCTCGTCAGGTACGTAAGTCTATAAATCTGTTACTCGTAACCGAAAATGTCCTTTATAATAGTGACAATAGTGACTTCATAGTATTGACTATATGGCAAGTACCTCAGCATAGCTTGAGATAGAAATCTTACAAAATGCGAGGTCTGTGCTTGGAAATGATAGAGCAGACTATTAGGCACAAGGTCAGCTCAGGGTTTACAGCTGCTTTTGGGCCTCCTGACTCTAGCACCACAGATTCTCGATGTTTACGGATTCTGGGAATGCTTGACCTGCTGTGCGTCCCCGCGAAGCCATCAGTACCCATTTGCTCTCTTTGTCTGTTTTTCCAGGAGGCAGAGAAGGACGGCAATAATAATCTTCACTTTTCAAATAGGGAGGCCGGAGCTCAGAGAGGCTGAATGACTGGCCAAGGGTCACACAGCAAGTTACTGGTAGAGCTCGGTCCTGGAGGCCAAAGGTCCTGAGTGTCATCGAGGTTTCAGCCACCTCTGCCCCACCCCGTGTGCTAGCCACCCCTGCCTCCATCGGGGGAGGAGAGCGAGGAGGAGCACGGCAGGGTCCTTTTCTGGGCTTCCCTCTCAGCTGCCGACTGAGCAGAGGACACGGACTTGTCCAGGCCAAGAACACGGTGGCGGGCTCTGGCACTGGTGTCTGTGCCCCCCTCCCCACCACCGCCCAAGGAAAACCAAGGCTATGAGGCTCATATAAAAACCTTAGGGCATTTCCGCTGTGGGGGCCTCCAAAAGGGAGGCCAACAGAGAGATGGGAGGCTGGCCTCATGGTCCCTGTGACCCCGGCTCTGACACCTGCCCTCTCCTGCCAAGAGCCTTTTCAGCAGTCTGATGTTCGAGGCTGCACAGGAGTTGCACTGCACCACGCGGGCGTGATCTGATGGTGCCTCTTAGAGCTGTGCAGGTCACGGCTCGCACACCCCAACGCGGCAGGCCTCGTCTGCATTGCTTAGCACGTTCAGACGCTCACATCATGTTCACAGCAGCTGAGGACCTTGCAAACCCACTTTCTGAAAAAGAAAAATTATTTCATCATTTTTACAAGATACAGAAGACAGGTTAGGGAAATTTATTTTAGATCGGCGTGATCCCAAAGACTGTATTAGAAAGATTACATGTAGGAACCAGCGGATGGCGTAATGGTTATGTTGCTGGACTCCCACATGGTCAAAGGTGGTTTGACTGGGCATGTGTGTGAGTGAGCACGCCCCAAATCCCAAGACGAGAGTGGAGAGGGGATTGTGACATGGCCATCCCCCCGGGGGTGATTTCTCACTTTCTGTCTCTCTGTCTCTCCAGTGAGCACACATGCCCTATAGCAAAAATTTCTCTCTCAAAAAAAGAGAAATATTCCATGTAAAAAAGTTCCTTATGGGGGCCAGCAGATGGCTTAGCGGTTATATCACTGGACTCCCACATGGTTGACTATGGTTTGAGTCCCAGATCCAGCAGCCTAAAACATACTGTGCATGTGCGCATGCGTGCCCAAAATCTCAAGAGAATAGAGGAGAAGGAACTGTAGCGTGGCCATATCTCCCATGTGTGGTTTCTCTCTTTATCTCTGTCTCTCTGGCAAGCGCATGCACCCTATAGCAAAAATCTCTCTTAAAAAGAAAAAAAAAAAAGTTCCTTATGGGGGCCAACAGATGGCCTTTCACTGGACTCTCATGTGGTCAACTGTGGTTCAAGTCTCAGACCTGGTGGCTTAAAACATCACACTGGGGGGAACCAGCAGTTAGTGTAATGGCTATGTCGCTGGACTCCCACGTAGTCAACCGCGGTTCGCATCCCGGACCTGGTTGCTTAAAAAACTCATGCCGGGTGCGTGTGCTGCGTGCCCAAGATCCCAGGAGGAGAATGGAGGAGAAGGGATTGCGGCGTGACCATCCCCCCAGGGGGTGATTTCTCACTTTCTGTCTCTCTGTCTCTCTCTGTCTGTCTGGCGAGTGCACGCGCCCTGTAGCGAAAACCTCTCAAAACAAAAACAAACAAACAAACAAAAAACAAACAAAAAAATCACACTGATGTGTGTGTATGTGTGTGTGTGCACGTACCTAAGATGTCGGGAGAACGGAGAAGGGATTGCAGGGTGGCCCTCCTCCCTGGGGGGGATTTCTCACTTTCTGTCTCACTGTATCTGTCTTTCCTCTCTCTAGCGAGTGCACGTGCCCTAAGACAAAAACCCTCTAGAGGAAAAAAGGAAAGAAAAGAAAATCGCACCAGGGACACGTGCATGTGTGCCCAGAATTTCAAAAAAAGAATGGAAGAGAAGGGATTGCGGGGTGGCCGTCCTCCCTAGGGAGTGATTTCTCACTTTCTCTGTCTCTCTCTCTCTAGCGAGTGCACATTGCTATGGCAAAACCTAAAAAAAAAAAAAAGACTCACATGGCCCAGCTTCAGTAGGGAGCGCCGGCGTGTGACTGGATGCGGCGAGACCGTGTGGAGTCTGAGTTTGATTCCCGGCCCACCCTGCGTGGCCCAGAGCGGTGGCCTACGCCTGCTTGGGAGGCTGAGGCAGGAGGATTTCGACCCAGCGAGACCCTACCTAAAACATCACGCACACACAGGTTCATTATTTTTAGAGGCTACTTCGACTGTTTTCTGTTTAATAACTGATGCCTACTGTTTAATAGAATTTAAATTAATTTTATGAGGAAGAGCGAGCGTTATAGACAAATGAATTAAAAATAATTTGTCAGGCTTGATTTGGGCACTGAACATATACTGAAATTATCATTATAGATGGAAATTTAACTACATGCAATGGATTCAAAAAATAGATAGACTTGTTTTTAATACTTGTTTTTAATGGGGTCTTCGAATTCTTGTATCTTGTACAGCATTTTAGTGATTTATTTAGTTATTTTAAAAACAAATTTTGTGCTTTGTTTGAAAAAGAAGAGATAAGAGAGAAGTTACCATCTCTTCAAATAACCCATTTTAGTTACGAATAGCTGTTATTTCCAAAAGATGAAAAGCAAAATGACTGCATTTTCTCTCTTTAGTGTTTGTTTTTGAAGTACTAGAGACATCTTGATGTTCTACATAAGATTTTTTTTTTCTTTTTTGAACAGGTGATCCATTAACAATGGAATGGCTCAGAGGTGCGGTGTGTTTGTGGTGGAAACAACATCTCCCTGGGGTCCTGTGGGTCTCTCTCCAGGAATGACCCAAGTGAGCGGTTTCTTAGGTCTCATTTCAGAATCCATGCATCTGGGACAAATATTGGCACAAATATCTTCTCTGTTTCTCTATTTTTATACAAATGAGGCCCTCTATACAACCACCTACACCTTGCTTTTCTCATTTAAAATAAACCCTTGAGGTGGGGGGCCAGCAGGTGGCATGGTGGTTAAGGCGCTGGACACTCCCACATGGCTGACCACGGTTTGAATCCCGGACCTGGTGGTTTGCTTTCACACTTTCCCCCGCTCTCTGTGTGTTTCTCTCTGGTCAAATTAAAATAAATGAATGAATGAATAAAAATAAACAATAAATAATTCTTTTTAAAAAACAGTAAAAAAATAAACCTCTAAGGGGCAGCCAGGTGGCGTGGTGGCTAAGAGATCCCACACAGCTGATGGCATGGTTTGAGTCTCGGACTAGTGGATCCGAAAACATGCTAGGCACGTGTGCATACATGCCCAAAACCCCGAGAGGAGAATGAATGAGAAAGGGCTGCAGGAACAGCAGATGACGCAATGGTTATGTCACTGGACTCCCACGTAGTCGACCACAGTTTGAGTCTGGACTGGTGACTTAAAACTCACGCTGAGCGCACGGGTGTGTGTGCCCAAAATCCCGAGAGGAGAATGGGGGAGGAGAAGTTGCAGTGTGGCCGTCTCTCCTGAGGGGTGATTTTTTGCTTTCTGTCTCCCTGTCTTTGGCAAGCATGTACACCTTATAGCAAAAATTTTTCTCTCTATAAAAAGGGAGAAAGGGTTGCAAAACAGTCATCTCTTGAAGGGGGTGTTTCTCATGTTTTCTCTTTCTCTCTCTGCTCTGTCCCTACTTATAGGCATGTATATGCCCTGTAGCAAAAAAAACAAAACAAAAACAAAAACAAACAAAACAAAACAAAACAAAAAAAAACCAAACCAAAACGAAACAAGAATAAAGTTAAAAAATCACAGTTTGGTCCACTCTTCTCTTTGGTCAAGAGCTCTCGACCAGGTTTTGCTCCCTGGGGGCACTCTTCCTTAAGGAGGCCTCATTCATATCACATGAAACAGGTCAAATGCACTCCTAACCTGCAATAAAAACACCTGAAAAATAAAACAAGAAAGGGGCCAGTAAGTGGCATAGTGGTTAAGATGCTAGACTCCCATGTGGCCGACCACAGCTCGAGTCCCAGACCTGGTGTCTTGAAACTTGTTCTGAGGGGACCAGCGATTGGTGTAATGGCTATGTCGCTGGACTCCCATGTAGTTGACAGTTGTCCGAGTCCTGGACCCGGTGGCTTAAACTCACACCGGGCGCGTGTGCGTGCGTGCCCAAGATCCCAAGAGGAGAATGGAGGAGAAGGGATTGCGGCGTGGCCATCCCCCCTGGGGAGTGATTTCTCATTTTCTTTTATTTTTAAAAAAAAATTATTAATTTAATTTTATTTATTCATTCATTTATTTTAATTTGACAGAGAGAGATACACACACACACACACA